TTCATCTTTCCACCGCAGTGCAAATATGTGAATTTTCATATATCCAAATCTTCAATTATTATTAATTGACCATCATTAGAATTTAAGCCTAGATTGCTTAAATTCTGATGCCTATCCTCTTTCATCTTTTTTTAATTATTTCTTCTTTTCCGATTCCATACGAATTTTTTAATCTTTTATCGTTCGACAGCAAAACTTTGTGTAAATGGGTGATACCGTTGACTCCCAGTTTCTTCCCGTCGGAAAGAATTTGGGCCATAATGGCTGGCTCCTTATCAAGTACTAACAAATTGATAGGGGGCAAGAAAATCCTGGAGCCATTTAATTACATGATAAAACAAATAGTTGTAACAGAGTTAAAGAGACGTTTTCTTTTTCTTCTCACAATGATGACAGAAGGCTGAATAGACATGTAAAATCGTCTTTCCGTTTCCCTTTGGAAAAAATAATAACGTGGGCGACGGTGGTTCCTCATAAAATTGCATCTTACTAATGATTGCAAAAAAAAACAAAATTGGTTGATTAGTAGAAGAAACAAAATACCTAGGCCTTGTTTTGTGTGACAATGATGATACACAATAAATTCATTGAAATGTATTTATAGGACAGATGAGAGAGTGCGGTATTAATTTTTTTACCGAAAGCATTCTTGGAGACCGATACCACGAATATTGATAAAACACGCATTCTGATCGATTGAGAAAGAATGTTTCGTCAAAGTGTTATACTTGCGAGGGATTGGTGATGTTATCATAATTTCAAGTGATATGAGGAAATCACAAATCACCCGCAACAAAGTTGGATTTTCCCTCGGTTTTAATTTCACGTTCGCTATTTCCAAACCCCATTTATAAGTCAGACAAGTGCGGTTTGATGAACTAAGTTTGAAATCATTTTAAGATTATCACAAAATCGAAATCGTAGCACATTACACAAGTGGATCTCCTCGCAATCGCATCAAGATAATTTAGCTTGCACATTGGTTTTACTTGTAACAGCAAAGATAGAAATCATTTCACCTCAATTACAACTTTTCTGTCTGCCAGAATAAAATTTCCGTAGTAAGTCTTCCGCATACTTTATTTACGGTAACCTAAACATAGAGAACGTGAAATAACTTTGTGGCAATAATAAAATGTATTACCTTTCATGTACTGAACATGCAAGAAATAAGAGGCAAATAATTTCCCGTATAAAATAAGTACAAATAATGGTGCATAGCTATAGCGTGGTCTAAAGGTTCCCATTGAAAGTATCTTTGCTTGCAACTAATATAAAGACAAGGGCTAATATTTTCAGAATGTGGAAATCTGACTATACAGGAGTATATTTTTGTGTTGCCCAATAAGACCAATAACCAGATGACGGCACAACTGATTCCCCGTCTCCATCTAATTGGTATAACGTGAGTCAACTAAGCTCATCACTAAGTTCAAGCGAAACAGGAGATTTAGTGAAAAGACACGCCGGGTCTAAAGTCGAGGAGAGGTGTTACATTTAAGCAGCAAGTCTTTTTAGTGCCTCTGGGAAAGTTATCAGGTAATTTTCCAGCCCAGTCTCATTCTGGGCTTATGAGTGAACCTTACATCTACAGCTATTTATCCGCTGATGTATGACTCCTCCATCTCTGCCAGCTGAGTTACATGTGCGCCGTTTTATATTTTTGAATTATATTAGAAATTCAGATACCATCTCGTACCCGTGGTTGACAACAGATCATCATAATTTTAACTTTCAATTGAGATTTCTGTGACGATGAAAGATGTCGGTTGTACATTAGAATCTTTGTATCTCAATTTTTTTAAAGATCGGCATAAATTACTCCGTGAAGATTGATCCAGGGTAAAGCTACTGTTATTTACTGAAAAAAGTCCAAATCCAGGAGAGCAACCTCATTATTCGAGAAATATTCATCTCGTCGATCCAAAAGATTATCGGTATTATATGAAAGATTTCTTTCTCATTGTACCAAGATGTATCCCATGGCTTTAATATGCTTATGACCATTATCTGTGGAGTACATGGCTTCGTTACCACACGTGTTAGAGTTGTCGTGCACCCCTCCTGTGCCAAATCCAATCCTTGAGTCACACGTGTAACAACTGTTTTCGTTGTTGGCAACGATACCAATTCTTGCTTTAGCACCACAAAGGACATTGAACCCTTCCCTATTGCAGTTGCGCTGTAAAGAGGCTTGCGAACCAATCAGCTTCTTCCACGTGCCACGACCCAGTGAGGTGGAACGGTAATGCTCATCAGCGATCAGTGAGTACAGAGAGTGAGCCTGCTTGTTGATGACAATGAACTGAATATGTTGTCCGATTTTCATACCGAGACAGATCTTGGAGAAGGACGTGTTCCAGTAGGTGGGCAGCTTTGTTTCCTGTTTATCAAATCCCGTCTCTCCCCCGGGAAGGTTGTATTCTTCATTATTACTCCAGTAACCCGCATTATAGTGAAAGGTTGTCTAAAAAGAATTAATCATTCCTTCAATTCTCTCCTAAGAATCGTTCGATCAAAAATACTCAATTAACGTGATTTGTCACTCAAAGAAAAGTTAGAGTTTGTAGATCTGATGTATCCTAATAATTACTCTAATAATCCTATCGATTGTTATACATACGATATTCATAACCATCATCATGCTGGTATTGTTAGTTTTATGATCAGGCTAATAAAACCATTTAAAGCCAGCCTGTCTCAACCTTCAAGTCTGCTATAATGTTTTTTTAAACTTATCACAATATAGGAAAAATGGAAGCTGTTAGTCTGTTTTTTTGTCTTTGATAGATATGTTGGTTTTTTGTAGTCTTTATTGATTATCATTTTATGGCAAGGTAATCTTGCCATATAATGTTCCCCATATATCTTCCCGCAAAAGACGGAAGATTCAAAATGAAAAAAGTTTGTCCGAGTGCCATGTAACAAACTACTTATTAATCTCGCCAATATTCCTCCGTAGGGCCCTTGCGCTCGGTTAGTTAGAAGGTAATATTCTCGCCATCAAGCTGAACACTTTTATAACACTCTAAGATTTATGGCAGCACTATAAATCGGCTCTAATTACACAAAAGAAACTGAAACGTGACCAAATTGCACCTTTGTGCCGTCAATCTTCATAACTGGCGTCCATCCTCCATCTCCACATCCAAAATCTCCCATGTGACAGAGAACGGGGACTGGTTGGGAGTCCAAACGGAGGGTGACAAGCTGACTGACATTAGACCTATTGACATTAACAATGACGCATCAAATCATTTAATCTTTACATTATATTAAGTTAACGCTATCCAAAAAATAAAAAAGTTAACGGGATTGTTTTGTTACTACTGAAAAGATATTTGGGTCTTAATAAGTTATTAGCCCTTTTCCTTCTCGCCCCAATACTCTGGATCCTGACCTATTATGCGCACTGTCTGTCCCTCTAGAACGCCTCCGGAAGGGACCTGGGACGGAAAGTGACTTCGTAAAGGATTGCACGTGCGCAGTATGAAAGATAATTTGATATTGTAAAAAAGGAGAATCAAAGTAAGACGTAGTTTTTGCAGTTTCTAAGGAGAGTTCGAAGTATCTAAGGCTGAGACTTGTACACATTGTTGTTCTGGACCCCATTGTGTGTTGGTTTACACACTCGTGCACTTTGCACGGCGGAGTGATGAAGTCTTCCGTAAACTTGGTCGTGCTGGCTGTACTTATTCTCTGTTGTGATCATGGTGGAGTTGCCGGTTAACACCGGGGAAAATATGTGGAAAAAGAAAGAACCAGAGCCACACAAGACATTTGTGACGATCACAGGTCTACGTTAAAAGCAGAAAGCAGACTGTGTAGCAAGGGTAGAAGAAAGCTCTTATCATCATCCTTTATCACCGCAACGAAGCGTCCGCGTTAAAACAGTTGGGATATCTCACAATACGCCAAACGCATTCGGAAATCCCTGTTAACATTTTCAAACTCTCGTGCATGCGCAATGGTTGACCGCTGTGTTTGCTGCTCTGATTCTTTCAGTATGGCCTATAACTTACCTTTTGAAGTCATAGAGCGCCTTGCAAGACGTAATAACTAAGAAATAGAAAGGAAATATTTATTTTATCTATGTTTCAATTTTCCATACTTAGAATATCTAAAGCCTAATTTCCTCGCAGTTGAATGCGTTTTGTGTATTTGTTGTGTTCATATTTCTGTAGAGGAAATGTACCAGCTTTTTTAGCCTTAATGAAATTGTGACATGCATTGACGGCTCGGCCAAGATTTTAATGGAGAGTCACTTTTTTCATTCGAGTCTTCTTACTTTATTTTTTGCTGATTTCTTACCATTTGGTGAACTCAAAGAAGTACTGTACGACTTAAATACAAATAACTACATAGTGCTGGTATCCATTTATACAGTATCGACACAGGGCACAAGAAAAAATAGGAGAACCACATGATGAAGAAATGAAAAGTTTTTCCAGAACAAAGTCTTAGCAACAGGTTATCATTATGAATAGGCTGAAGAATAATGGCACATTACCTTTCTCACAAAATTCTCCCATAAAACCTGGTTCACAGAGACATTGGTAAGAGTTGTATTCGTAATTTGGCACGCAGATTCTTCCCTTTTGACACGGCCAGGAAGAACAAGGAGACTAAAATGAGAAAAGAAACATGTTGTTATCTTAAACCGGGGAGTGTTTGAACAGAAGTTTGATAAATGAAGCCGAAAAGCACTGCAAAGAAAGACAATCAATCAAAAACGCACTCTACTGTTAACGTTCAAATTCGAACACTTTGAAAAAGTTATTACCAGAGTAGAGAAATGATGCGAACTCATGTTTTCTTTGTAGTTCTTGATGTCTCTGTACTTATCAGAAGACAGCAATTCACACCAAAGATTCCCCTCTGCTCCTTTGAAGGCCGCCATGTTTATTGAAAGACACAAAGCATTTTTTAAACATTCAACTGTGCAATCTAACAGGTCGGACACAGTCAATTTTCCAACTCGAGTTACGTTCAGAT